GAGTCCCCATCCCTGGAAGTATTTAAAAGACGAGTAGATGCGGCACTTAGGGACATGGTTTAGTGGGCATGGGGGTGTTGGGTCGACGGTTGGACTCGATGATCTTAGAGGTCTTTTCCAACCTCAATGATTCTATGATTCTATGATTCTCTCTGGTCCTCCCCCAGCCCTCGGGCCCCAATGCAGTTTCACTGCGCGCCTGCTCAGCCCCTCTCTCTGCCCCCCCAGGGATGATCGTCAGCGGCATCTCCCGCCTCTGCTCCTCTGCACTGGAGCCCTTTGGGGAGCTGCAGCGGGAGGTGGAGATCCACCGCACCTACGTCTCCCAGTCAGTCCATCTCTTCATCCTCTACTTCTTCAACATGGCTGTGCTGGCCACCTACCTCCCACAGGAGGCCCTCAAGCTCATCCCCCTGCTCACAGGGCTTTTTGCCATCTCCCGGTAAGTGGCTCCTTCGCACTACCTGGGCTGCAGCAGTGCCCAGCGTGCAAATGGGGTCTGTCAGTGCTTGCAAACACTGTGACTTGGTGCAAACTCCCGCTCTGGCAGTGCCTCATCTGGCCAATGACAGCCAGGAAAGCTGGCACAGGGGAAGGGTTGCTCCATCCCTCATCCCACTTCCCGCAGCGGCCATGCCTGGCAAAACCTCACTGGGGTCAGAACCCCCGAGCGAAGCTGAGTGCCAGTCCCAAGACATCGCCCTCGCTGAGCCCATACCTCTCTGCCCTCTCCAGGTTGATTTACTGGCTGTCGTACGCCATCGGGCGCTCCTTCCGTGCCTTTGGCTTCAGCATGACCTTCCTGCCCCTCCTGGCCATGCTACTCTGGAACCTTTACAGCATGTTCATCCTGGAGCCTGAAAACCTCCTTGCTGTGGCAGCGCCACAGCCTGAGGACCGCTCCAAGGATAGTGGAGCCAAACTCCGGTACTGGGGGTGAGAGAGACTCTGGGAAGATGGGGTGCCTGGACCCTGCGGTGCAGGGGGGTTGAGCCCTCCTCACTGCCCTGCCTTGTGAGCCCTGAAGGTGGCGGGGTGTAGGCAGATCTGGCTGGGCCCCTGCTCCCTGCCCAGACCCAGCAAGGTTTTGCTGGGCACCCGGGGCTGATAGAGCAAAGCCGTAAAACCCTCTGTACTGGGAGTTTCCTGCAGGAGGGTGAACAGGGCCTGGAGCAAGACCCAGTGAGCCCTGTTCCGTGAGGATGGGTTGGGGTGGGATTTACCTAACCTCCTGCTGGAACTGGCTTTGCCTAATAAAGCCCTTCAACAAATGGCTCTGTGGCTGGTTTGGGGAGGGTGGGTTAAATCACCCTAGGAATTGCTGCTGCCAGGACTTGTAGCTTTGCCCACGGGATGCCATCATCCAGCCCCAAAATGATGTTTCCAAGAGGGGACAAAATGATGTTTCCCCAAACTGTCCATCTTCCAGTGCTGCAACAGCACCCCAGCCCTGCATCCTGCTCCTGGGTCCCCGCATGGTGGTGTGGCCAGTCCTGCCCAGCTTGTCCCTCCTCCTCTTCCTCCCGGCAGAGATTCAGCACCTGGTTCACAAACCAGTTGGCCGGGTAGGAGGGAGGGAGCCCTGCCCCAAGGAGGGATGCGGGGAGAAGCTGGGATGGGCGAGATGGCACCAGGCTCGCCGCTGCCTAGGGCTGGGGACGGCCGATCCCCTCCACGACAGGCACCCAGCCTGCACCCCTCAGGGCACCGGGCCCCACCTTGGAGTCCTTTGCAGACGTGAAGGGACCCCAGGGAGTCCAGCCCCATGCAAGTCTGATTGTCTCGGTTCTCCGATTCTCAGGCATAACCCAAACCAGTTAAAAATCCACCAAATAAAGGGAAAGCCCCTCCATCCCTAGATCTGCCAAATGTTTGGCTTGTCCCGCCTCCCATGCCCGAATGCTGTATCACAGGAGCAGTTCACCCGCTGCAGCCCAGCCGAGTCAGAGAATGGGAACAGTCTTACTCTTTCAAATGCACTTCTCAGCAGGGATATGGCCCACAGCCTGGGCTCACGCTGACCCCGCGGCTCACAGGCAAAACCACCCCAGAGCACCACAGGCTGCTGCAGGGCATGAGTCAATCCGGGGGCAGGGAGCCTCCCTCCTCTCGTTGGCTCCTGCTGAGCTCCAGCACCCTTTAATTCCTGCGAGGCCCGAGAGCTGCTCTCCTTGCGCTCGCCCATAGTGCAGTGTTTCCACAGGAAACTGCTCTTAGAAATCCACTTTATTTGGTCAAAGACAAGTCAGTGATAGAGAACATGAAAACCCAGCACACCCCCGTGTTATGTGGTACCTCTGCAAACACCGAGCAGCCACAGACCACGCTTGCCCCATGGCTTCAAGCACCTGGATAGCACCTCTGAGCCAGCCCTGCAGCGCCAGTGGCTGCAGCTGACTGAGGGCAAGGCTAGATCAGCCCTTTTTGGGCTGACAGGACGTACCTGAGCTCAAACAGCTGCTGCAAAGCAGCGCTGGGTTTCCCTCTTGCACCAGCAGCCCTCACCGAGGCCAGCACAGCAGAAAGTGCCTGCCGGGGACTGAGGAGTCCATGAGTCCCAGGTGGGTTGAGGGGGGCTGTTCTGGGATGCCCCCAGCACGGCGAGACGCAGCAAGGCACCCTGCTCACTGGCAGGAGCAGCACCGGTCCCCAGCCCTGTCCTCCAGCCCTGCTCCTGGGTCGGAGCCACCCAAGCAACCCTGGAGTGCTCTGAAAGTGGCACAGGACAGGGCACAGCCAGTCCCAGCCGTTGCTTGGCTGCAGACATGACAACAGCGGTTTTATCCCTTGGGAGAAGGAGGATCTTTCCGTGGCTCAAGGCAACCCTGACCAACTCCACCCAGTCACTTCCCTTGGCTGGATGGATCAGGAAAAAACAGCAAAAGAAGTGTAATCAGGTGCAGGATCTGGGCAGTAGGAGGGAGCAAGACAAGAGGGATACTCGACGTGGGCAACTGTTGCAAACGTTGCCCTGGTCCCCTCTGAGCCTGGACTGCAGGGACGGAGCGGAGGACAAAGAGGAGATTGCAGGCATTGGAGCCCCTGCAGCAGCCGCGGTCGTTTCCTGGCGACAAGAACGATCCCGGGGGGTCTCTCCAAGGACCGTCCCATTCAGTTGATGGGCTCATACTCAGAGTAGCGTTTCCTCTGAGCAAAGAGGACCACGCAGCTGCCCACCAGGAGCATCACCATGGGGGTGCCCAGTGCCACGGCCATGATGGAGATGACGAGGGGGGAGAAGGTGTCCTTGGGGGGCTGCCCAAATCCCAGCAGCGCCGACCTGCAGGAGGGGATGAGACAAATCAGCCATGGAGATGGGGACCAGCTGTGTCCCACGGGTGGAATATCTGGGGCTTTCTACCCCGACAGGGTCAGATCAAGATTTCTTGGCAGGATCCCACGTGCGGCAGGAGAGGGTCTCCCAGACTGGGGGAGGGGTGAAGGAATGTGCCAATAAACTGCAAAACTCCTTGCTGTGGGATCACAAGAAAACACGGGCTTTTGAAAGGAGAGAAGTTATTAGAGAAACCCTCTAACATAGCAGTTCCCCAAACTGCAAGTTATTAGTGGCTGGGAGAGCATAATTTCATGCACAATGGAGCCCACTCACCAGCTGAGGTAGCGCTTCTCCTGGTAAACCTTTCCGTCCTCTCCCCCAAAAGAGATATTGATGGCACTGACGGTGTAGGTGCTGCCTACACCCTCCCCAAAGTAGGCGTGGACAATGCCGGACATGGGCAGGGTCCAGTTGGCTGCTTGCAGGCCGCGAGACCGGCACTGGATGCTGTCCTCGCGTCTCGGGGTCTGGGAGCCGTAGGCTGTCGCCTTCCACTGCAGGAAGCTGAGCGTGGAGCTGTCATTTTGGGACTTGGCTACCAGGGAGAGCATCTGGTGGAGGGAGAGGAACCGGCGGTGAAGTGAGGACAGCAGATGGTCTTCATGCCAGGGTGAGCCATAGCGGGGGGCCACAGGTTGCCCAGGCTGCTTGCTCCAGATCCCGCTCACCCTCGTTCCTGCAGCAGGGGATGTCCCCAGGCCCCATGCTCACCCCACACTTACCTCGAAGATGGTGGGAGTGTACTCATCGTCGATGGAGCGTGTCAAGCGCAGCTTCTGCACCACCCCTGTCTCCTCCACCGTGGCCAACTCCAGCACAAATCGGGAGCTGTTGCCCCGCGGCGCCACCCCAGCCAGGACAAACTCCACTTTAGAGCTGTTTGCCGTGTGCAGGAGGCTGGGCAGGGGCCCGTCACGGCCACTGGCCTCGTAGGCTGTCACCTGCAAGGGACACAGGTCAGAGGGACAGCACGATCACCGGTTGGGACACCAAGGAGCAACATTCCCTCTCTAGAAGGTGCTTTGGACACGATATTCACTGTGTTCTCCCTACAACATCCCAGCGCAGTATATACTCGTTCTCTGCCCCTGTGGACTTACCCGAAATGCCAGGCTGCCGTTGGAGAAGCTGCCACTGGGGTCAGCGGCTGGGATGCCTGTGAACTCAGCCGTCAGGGCCGTGTGGTTCAGGGTGTGATTGACGCTGTCCCAGGAAAAGTCAGACAGGTCGTATGTGGGGTAGAAGAGCTCTTCTAGCGTTTTGGCCTCGCTGTACTCAAACACCTAGGGAGAAGGAAGGGGAGAGGGGCTGGGAGCCAACAGCAGGTGCTGCGCACACCACCACTTTGTGCTACGGTCCCCGGGCTGCCGCGCACCGGGCTGCCACTGCCACCAGGGATAGGAAGGAGCTGCCTTGGCCAAACATCTCAAGGCACCATCGCAGCTCAAGGCAGAGACAACCAGGGTAGGACACACAAGGGGCCATTTCGCTGCAGCTGGGAAAGCTGCCAATGGACCTGCTCTGCCCCAAACAACCCCCCGCGCTCCCTCCGCCACAGGGCAGCTCTCCCGGAGCAGGGCCACCTTCCTCAGTGGTACCTTGGTGAAGACAACGGCAGTGGAGTAGACAACACTGCTGGGAGGGTCGATCCAGATGGCGCCTGCAGGAGTGGGCGAGAGCAGCTGGGTCCAGTTGACGCACAGGGTGCTGCTCCTGCTCGCTGTAGCCACGAGCAGCACCGTGGGGGCCCCAATACTGCTCCAGATGTAGTGCAGGGTGTCACTGGGCCCAACCGCCCGCACATGAAGCAGGTTGACAGAGGAGTTGTTCCAGCCAGGGTTGTACTGCATTGACACCTGCAGAGGGAGGACAGGTCTCAAGGGGACTCGGTCCTACCCAGCGCGGGACAATTCCAAATGCACAGCTTCCTGCGGGGCAGGCAGCCCCGGTCTGGTTAGACACGGGCACGTGAGCTGCCTCGGCTTCCCTGTGGGCTCTGCAGGCAACGAAGCCCTGCCGTGGCCCAAGTGTTGCTAAACGAGCTCGGTCAGCATTTCGCATCCGGCTGTTTCGGAACAGCTTTCGGGCAGCGAGCCACTTCCCTGCCCACAGCCATCGTGCTCCCACCGGATCGGGACACAGTGGGGAGACAAGGGACAGAGGCGGGTGGCACCGGGATGCGTGGCAGCAGGACAGGGGCTGGCAGCAGAGGGTCCCCAGACACGGGTGACGCACAGCGTCCTGTGTGGCAAGACGGAGGGAAGGGCAGGTTCCCTCCAGCTCTGGCCTGAACCCCGGGGGTGGGACTTGCTTGGCGCGGGGGCAGGGAGACCCGAGAAAGCCCCTCTCCTCCCCAAACCCCGAGCGTTTGGGCCGCAGCATCGGCATCGCTGGGGCCGGGCGGGATCTCGGGAGGGCTCCAG